AATTTTCCGCAAAAATGACGGGAGCTTTAGCACGTGGCGCAGCTGGTATGTATCCTACGCCATAATTTTAACATGAGCACAATATTATAATTTTAATTAGGAACTAGTTAATATACCCGTCATATGCATTAGTAAATATTTAGTAGCACAACGTTTCTCTGTGTGTGTATGCGCGCGCGCGCGCGCGCGCGCGCGGCTGTTTATTTCGATATAAATTCATGCGGTCAGTCGTGCGGATGATTCGTAACTAAAATAAAATGATGACAACTGTAATTTCGTTGTATTAATTTGCGCCTGCACTACGTTTCGCGAGAGCGCCGCTGACGGCGGCGGCGCCGCGCGCGACGCGATATAATGGAAAATCTTTGCGCGCGAGGTCGAGAGATTTATTGCAAATCCGAAGAGGTTTATTACGGGAAGAGGTGGAATATTATCCCGCGGCATAATTAGCCGCGCGCGAAATTCACCGGCGCTTCCGCGCCGGCAATAAATACGCAGGGATGGACCTTCCTCGGGCGGGCCAGAGAACGATCCTTTCTACCCTTTGACGCGATATTTGATTCTCGTTCCAATAAGCGGCAAATAAAATTAGATTTTCCGGAGCGGCACTCCCGGCGAAAAACTTCTTTCGCAGCCCGGAGGGGGGCTTGATGGGATTCCAGGAATCTTTCGATATCGCGTGTCTCTCGCGCGCGGAAGACGCATGGTTTCGATAAAGAGGATTGCATCGCGGGAGAGGGTGGGAGGTGGTCACGGGAATTCCTTCGGGGAAAAAAAAAGGAAGATGGAAACGGGGCCTGGGGAGAGAAGGAAATAGGAGCGAGGAGCGTCGGCGCGAATTTATGTTCCGCACGCATGGAAATTTATGAGCCGCTAATTGGAGGGGTGGGATCGGCGTCGAAGTGAAAAGAAATGGGAAACGGCGATGGGAAACGCGAGAGGCTCGCGGGGATGTGTATGCCGCGCGCAACTTTTAGGATTAATTCTCGGATAAAATGGCCGGCCGCACGCCATCCTTACGGGCCGACTATAGGAGCAGACCCGTCGGGAGGGGAAAACGTCAGTTAACGTTTGTCAGGCTAATTAATTAGCAGATGGCGAACTTTCGCCCCCGTCTCCCCCGTCTTTCTCGCTTTTTCTCTCTCGATGGATCGGGACGTCGAAATTAATTCTTCCTTTTTAAGAAAGCACGGCGATCTGGAATTTTATCCGTCGCGAAGGGTCATCAGAACATGAATTCTGCCGAGCCACTTTATTTATTTGCTCTCAGTTTCATGTTTGAGATAACTTAACGGCGAAATGATCCCGTTGACATTTCCTGTGAATTATTCATGTCGCAACTGTAAGCGCGCGATTTAATATCGGGCAGCTATACCTTAATTATCTTCAACATTCGTCGCATCCCGTTCAGATTATTCTTGACATTTCCAGTCGCTCTCGTCCATTTTAATTGGTCGCTATTTCCATCCCGGTTATATCCGAGTTGTTCGGTTCTTCCGTAAAACGTTTGCAGTTCGCAGCTCGAAACACTTATATCCCCATTCCATCAATATCGCACGACGGCGCGCCGGAAGCCGTACCTCGAATCTGCGCGGAAACTCGACTAAAACCGCGTGAGCGCGCGCAGGATGCAAACTTCAGTAAAATTGCTCGTAAAATTATTAGCGGATACGGTCGGCGGATAATAATAGCCCGGCGTGCTTGCGCAACGCGAAACATCTCCGATATCCTGCTTTACGTCGCGATTACACAAACGCACGCACGATACGCATCCGCACGGAGATGTAACTGAATTACGCGTTAAAAACCTGGGGCGCTCGAGGGCCGTCAAAAAGAAAGCGGGGGGGGGAGGAGGGAAGCGGAAGCGATGTTACAGAAGTGATGGTCGGGTCGGCGCGAAGAAACGAGGGCGCGATGAGGCGAGGTTTAGCACGCTCGTAAATTCCGCGATGTAAGATCTAACGCGCGCTACAGCGAAGGGGAAACGCCGGGCCATTTAACTATTCATTTAGCCCCGGCATACAAGCGTCCGCGCGAAACGGTTCGGCGCAACTTTTTACACGGGGAGGAAAGATTCACACGTTGCTGCTGCCAGCTCGGTGTTCTCCACCTTTTTGAGAAATTTAACGTACACCTGAAAATCATGAAGCATCTCCGTACGTGCGATACACTTCTTTTCCCCCGGACGCTTCTCTTCCCTTTTCCTTCCTGAAGCACCTTCTCGAGACGTTCAACGTGATTGCGAGGTTAAAAGAAACATTATCGAGCTCGTGTCTTTTGTACAACGTTAAGGTATATATTTAGGGGCTCATGTAAGAGAGACACCTTTTGATTTGGATTTTTAATATTTTAATCCGCTCGAGCACAGAGAGCGTGTAATTTAACACCGCAAAGATCGAAAGATCCTTCGTTTACGAGAGCGTCTTCTTAAAATAGAACTTTACTCCCGCGCGCCATGCACTCGGATTACCTCTTCTGAATTGTTGCGATCATCGCTCGCCGCTGAAGAACTATACTATATCTCGTACATCTCCTCGGTTTTACTTCTTGCTTTTATACCCTTTCTCGACGCGTCTCGTATTTTTTGAGGTCAAGACATTGCGGTTGAACGCCGTACTTTCCTGGAGCGTCATAGCGTATCCGCGATTGCGTTTTCTTCCTCCTCGAAGACGATGCGTCGCGCAGCGCCGCGTGTGTTCTGCCCACTTAGTTTATCGGTTATTTCAAATTGCTTCCGTGGAGCATCTCCGAGAGGTGTATATTATTCGCTTCGCGGAAAGTGCTATACGCGCGCGCGAAGCCGTGTGCATTCCCTTCTACAATCTCGTCTCTGGAATGGCTTCCGATAGGAGATAGTATAACAGTCGTTTACACGCGCTATAACAATAATCAATTTTCCCTCACGGCCCCGTTCTCGTTTTATTCGCCGGTTAAAGCTGCTCTTGTATTCACAATAAAAAAAAATCCGTTAGACACCTATAAAAATTTAATAGTTTGTTGTTCTTAAAGCGACTTAAAATTTTCACTCTGTACACGTGTCTACAGGGAAATTTTTAGCGACACTCAAAGAATTAGCCTTATACTTACACCGAAGAATTTATAGTTATATCTCCGCGCTGGAACTATAGGAAGCGGAGGCGATTTCCTCCTCCTCCTCCGTCGTCGTCGTCGCCCGTGGAAATTTCGTTAGGATACCTCGAGCTCGAGAGAAGTTATTTTTACGAAGTCAGATTTAGGAGCTGCGCGCGCTCGGGCGAGCGTCGCGCTTTAATCTACATCGAAATTCTAATGTGGCGCGTTTCTTTAGCATTTTATGCTAATGCCCGCCGCGTCGTACCCCCTTAAAGTTCACTTTGACAGCTTTACCGGCAGCGGCAGCTGATGAAAACGGCGACGCGGTCCGCGAGATGCATTTCGCACGTGCGAAAGATAGGAAGAGTGAAATCCTCCGTCAAATTTCTAGCGTGATTTCGTCCTTAAATTAATTGACGAACTTATCTGTGGAAAGTCATACATTTTAAGTTTTTAAAAAAATAATATTCCTTAGATAATTTTTTGATAAGTAAATTTTTCGCAGCGAAGAAATATTGGTTTAAACTTTGTCAAAGGGAATTAGAGATGCATTTATATATTCTATATTAATGTTTAATATTCATTTGCTTATTTAATTAGAATGTAACGCAGCAGATAATATTATCTTGCAATAAATTAGCCCGTAACTCGGCGGGGCAAGATTTTGCGAAGCTGATTGTTGTAAGAACTCGTGGCCTATTATATACGATTGCTACGATTTCTTTTCCAATCCACTTTTCTTCCAATCTAATATTAGGGGAAACTTACCGGGTGTTTCACTCGGCGAGACTCGGAAAGACACGGCTCCTTTTAATAACCCAGCAGCGCCATCGTCCATTATACGGACTCTCACTTACAAAGTATAATGTCCCCTCGTTTTTACACTCAGTATGCGTCCAATTTTAATACTCTTGCATCTATTTTCGTTTGCGCTAGCTCTCTCTCCCGCATTTCTCTCCGTTTTTTCTTCTTCTGTGACGCTCTCCTTCTCGCTTCTCGCTTCTCGCTTCTCGCTTCAAAGAAATCATTTTCTATTCCGCCTCATCACGCTCAGCAGAGACACGCCAAGAGAGAGAGAGAGAGAGAAAGAGAAAGAATTTCCGCGATCTGTATATCGTGCGAGGAAGGATCATGCATCGCATCGAAGTCAGTAAGGTCATCCACGAATGTATTCTTTAAAAGGAAGTTTCCATTTATTTCACTTTCCCGATACACAATAGCTGTTTTTAATAATATAATTTTAAAATACGTATAAAAAAACCTTCATTTGTGTGTCATAATGTGTGAGTAAAATCACGGTTTTTATTCTTTTCAGACGTACTTTTTTTTACTTCCTCCGCAATACAAGCGTTCCAATTTCAAACGCTGCAAATAATTTCCCGCTCCATATCAAAAAGGCAAAAAACTTGTAATATTTATTTCATTAACAATTCATTGTATGATTTAAATTTTGTTTGACATTAACGACATTACTTTGCGTGCCAGAAAGAACGCCATCAGAACAGAACATTTTTATATCGATATTTTTAGAGAGACCTTGATCTCTGTGTTGGATAAAAATAACTGCGATTCGATTATATTATTCCTATTATATTATTATCCAATGTATAATTGAAAGCTGTTTCACATAGCTTTTTATTATTAGATATTAATGTTGCGTTATTATTATTATTATTATTACATTGTGCTAACAATAAAACAATTAATGTAAGTTTAATATTATTCGCCTATATGCGAAGTTCTAAAAATACAAAAAGGCCAAGTTTGATGAAAATCAGTCCGTCCGTGAAACGAGACTTATATTCATTCGGAACTTCGCGGTAACTCGTATCTTCAGTATAACTTCGAGCAACGCGCGTAAAAGTCGATCGCAATCAGTTCGCGCTCCCCACGAAGTTTGCTTAATTCGTTTCCCTTCTCTGTTACAGAATTCGAACAGCCAGGTCGCGATCGCCGGGCAGAATCAGGTGTCCGGTGCCAGCGAGACTCAGGGCGGACCCAACACCGTGCTCCGAGTCATCGTCGAGCACCTGCTCTACCCGATCACTCTCGACATCCTCTATCAGGTGAGTGCGACGAGCCGACACGGGGCCACCCGGTACGTGGCGGGCCCGGGCGCCTCATTTATTATTTCTACGTTTTATATTGAAAGCGGTCGCGCAGTCGGTACGCTGAATGCAGTATCGCGTGTAATGCGACGATGAATTATATACATATTCAAGTGTATACGTACGCGGATGTATGGCTAAGGTGTACACGGGACGGAAATTTTTCACGAGAGCTCCTACGTGTTCCGCGTGTTGCGGGAATTTTTTGGAGAATTTTTTATCGGTTCAGATTCGAGAGAGAACTCCCCTCTCGGTGGGACTCCGTCGTAAAAATTATGGAAACAAAAAAAAGGGCAGAATAATTCCGCGCGCAAACTGTGTGTTTGCGTGTTGCCGACGAAGGAAGAGGGGGGGGGGGAGTGTGTCCCGTAATTGGGGGAACGCCGGGAAACGAAAGGGCTAACGTAATTTAACTTCGACGTCGGATGTCGTCGCCGAAAAATGTCGCGCGCGCGCGCGCGCGCACATACACACACCGAGAGTTGAATTAGTCGAATTTCGTAGAGACAATCCCGCGGTCGTTAACTCGCTCGCTTCGGATATTTGATCAACGTTTACAAGTCGGGCGGTGAATTCCGCTTGATTAATCCGCGCGATGGCGGCGGCGGCGGCGGCGCCGCGGAGTTACGGCGACGCGGCCGAAGTTACATCGCGCTTTACATATTGAGTGCCTCCGTCGCGAGCCCGGAGTGGGTACCACCGGCGACTGTTTGCAGTTTTAAAATTGAATATAACGCCGGCACAGCCACGGCCGAGATAACTGAATTCTAAATAATTGATTGTTAAAATTATAGAATAATCTTCTTGCCGCGTCCGCGCGCGCGCCACCGCCGGAATTGTCGGGGGTTGCCCGGCGCATCGCGATAGACTTCGCCGCGCGATATTCGACAAGACGCTAATTGCACCTGTCGCGGAATCGACACTTCGCTTTGTTATCTCGAAAATACTTGGAAGACAGCGAAATTAAGTTGGAAACGGTTCTAAACATCGCGCCACGTTTTAACGAGGTTTATCTATGCAGATTCATGTAAATACGTGTTGCGAAAGTGAATTTATCACGAAGAAGCGGCGAGAGATAATCAAATAATAGAATTTTATAGAATAATCCAATTAATATAGTCTCTTATTTTTTGTAGAGTTTTTTAAATTAAAGCAATCCTAGGCCGATAAGAAATCGTATATATATGACTTTTTTTTTATCAGTTTCACGTATAAATTTTTTCCATCATGAAAATAAAACACCTTCTCGTAATCTTGGGAAGGGCGCGCTAATGCACGAGATGGCGCACTACATTTTCTCTCTCTCGGTGGAAAAACAAAGGAGCGAATATTGCCGGTCATCATTAAAGGGAGAGGGCGAGCCTTATCCCTGAGGATACCGGATAACAGTATAACCGGAGTGCTTCCGGTCCGGGTTGAGTGGCCCATGCATTTTTGAGCGTGCTCAATAGCGCCGCGAATAATATCCCCGCTGATGGTGTGCATACACGAAGGCCCGTTCTTTCTTACGCGAGTTTGCGAAAAACAGGATGTTTATGCTTGCCTTGTCCTTAGCCGGCGATATCGTTTTTTCTCGCGCCGATAAAACGACAGCCTATGCGGCCCGTGGAACGAATTCGAGCGTCGAACGTAGGTACATTTTATTTTCCCCCCAAAAAAAATAATAAAAATTTTTATTTGCGCTCGTGACAAATTCTTGTTGTCTCATCGAATGAGCGCAACGGGCAAATTGAAATCGCCGGGAAATATGAACAATCATTTCGAAAAATGGATGGCAACGCGGCGCAATTTGTCTCTCATTTGGCAATGCCTCGTTATAAAAATTTTCGAAAAATACAGTTCGCAAATTACACTATTATTGCCGGAGCGGTCGCGGGATTCGCGCGTTATGTGCTATCGAGTTACCCGATCGCGACAGACGGGGGATTTGTTTCCCACGAATTCTCCTCGAGAAATTGTTGCCAATGCGAAAAGTGGCGTGTATAAAGAAACGTATCTTTAACACTGTATCGATTTAGCTCAGCGAGCACGTCTGGAATATATAGGGTGGCATTTTCTTTTTTTTTCCTCTCTCTCGCGTGGAATCAGGTCGTTGCGGAACGGAGAGAGTATGGCGGCGCGGGCGCCGCCGCCGTGCACTAAGCCGATAATGGACCGGGCAGAAAACATTCCCGGATTACCGAATCGACGATTGGCCGGCTACACGTACGGCCGTGTGTAAGTAGGCTTACACACCCACCCGGGTTTTGGGCGCAGGGAGCGGGGAATTGGATTTGTGTCCGGCTGCTCGCGACTTGTAATCAGCTCGAAAGATTAACCCGCGTCAAAGCCAGCCACCTGGAGCTTTACTTATTGCTCCTGGACGGATCCTCCGGTCTCTGCAGCTCGGGGTATCGTATGATTTGTGCTGAAGAAGCAAAATCCCGTCGTCCGGGCTGACACTTATCTCGAGGAGTCCCGGTGAAATCCGTAAGATGATCAATTCGACTTGATGGAAAGTACGAGCCAGGGAAATAAACACTCGTTTCTCCACTGTACGATCTAGTTCGAGAGAATTGCAAATCAAAGCCTTGTAATCGTTTATATAAGCTATCCTAAGCCATGAAATCTTAACTATTTAACGTTACGGTATCCTTTGAGATTTTAACGACGCGAGTGAGTTTATTGGATACATTCTGTATACTCTGCGCGCGCGCGCTTTGCGGAAGTCTGATGAAAGCTTGACTTGTTCTACTGCGCGTAATCCGATATGGCATTCTCGAGAAAAGCGCATGTTTTTCTTTCTTTCAAAAGGAATTAAACATTGCCTCGAAATCTCGAATTTGCCTCTTGCCTCTATATATTTATATTTATATCTATATTTTATATTTATTGTTTTATCATTTAAATTATTTATTTCATTATTACGGTGTTCAAAATACGACGATTGGAGTTACGATATTAAATTAAACGACAGAGTAATGAAGATTAAGAATGCTACAAATTGTGTACATTTTCGAGAGTGTATTTGCATCTAATATGTAAAAAAAGGAACACACAGCGGCACTTTACTGTTAATTTCATTATTCGCTTACCTTTCAAGATAAAGAAAGCTTAATGAAATTTCCATGTGTCTCCCTGGATTACTCCTGACTGCTGAAGCTAGTCGCAAATGCGGTTTCCCCAGTTCTCGCGTCCAGGACTTCGATTGTTTCTTCCGGCCGAATTGAATTTCAACTTCGTTCTTTATTTGTTTCCCGGTTTTGTTGCTCGGTCGCCGCGACCTCCTCGCGCGATTAACCGACCGCCTCCGGCAGCGAAGCCAATTTACGTGGCGGCGCGGTGGTGTTTCTTCCACCCCCTCTCCCCCCCTCCTCGCGTCTCTCTCTCTCTCTCTTTCTCTCCGCCTTAGAAATCCTCCTCCGATATTAACTTTACGGTCTCCCGAGCCGAGGCGGCTAAATGCCGCGAAAAGTCCGCCCTCGCGCGGAGCGGAAACTTCTCTCTCGCGCGCGCGACCCCCCGCGGGAAGGGGTTGGAAAGGCCGCGTCCCGGAGGGTCGTGAGAAAGGGGTGCAGGTGTTTAGGCGCGCGTACTCCCGGTGCGGGAACCGGCGGCGCTCTAAAAACTTTGTAATCCGGCCGATGCCATTAGTCCGGCGTCCTTGCGAAAATTCTTAATGACCCGTGAGCAGAAATGTGCCGCGCACATAGAAAAAAAGGATTTGACTTGTGCGAGTTTCCTTTGTAGAGTTTTCCCTAACTTAGGGGATTTCGAGTTACACAATAATGTTTGAACAAATCGCACAGGACGAGAGTTCTGTATAGGTCTGAGCGGTTTAATTAAACAACGTAATTACATATTTCGCGACCTTTCGTATTTAAAATTAATACTTTATATTAATATATTATATTGATATATTACTTAGCGAATAATACTAATATAATTCGCGAGCTGTGTAATTGCATGCTTTTTCTCCGATATCAAATTAGTCATTTGCAGAATTCGTTCTATATTAATTTCATGTTTTGTCCTAATATATATATAAAATAAAGAGTTGCACGACAGGTGACTCTAAGAATTCTTCCCTAAATCCGATTACACGATCGGCGGGATGGGGAAACCCGTGAAACTCGGCGAGCCGTCGCGCCGTTTCGTCACGGTAATTTCTGCTCCGCGTCTTTTCTCCACCGGGAAAATACACCGGGAGGATGCATCGCGCATCCCTTTCTCCCTTACGGCTATACCGTCCGCGAAACCCCGCGGATCTGAGGGCGCGCCTTCGAGGCTCGAAATGTAAAACCGGTCGTAACGTCCTCGCGGATACGCGCGGCGGAGCGCGAGGGGAGAGGCGCGCGGGGCGGGCGGGCTTTTAACATTTACGTCCCGGTTAAATGGTCTCCGGGAACTTCGTCCGGGGTGCACGACGCGACATAAACTGCCACCACTGGGGCCCAGTCTGCCACCTGGGGACGCTCTAAATCTCGTCTTATTAAGGCCCGCGCCGGTTTGAAACGAGCGACCGCAGCATCATCGGCGCGACGACCGAAGGGTGATTTCGCAAAATCCGGCAAATTTAATTATCCTCCTTTCGTTCTTTCTTTCTTTTTTTTTTAGAGCTACCGATCAAACCAGGCGTCTTTAAAAAGTTACCTTAGAAATTACAGCTGATGAAATTGCTCTAGATTAAGTTATCCTAGAAATGACATTGTGCGACGAAAGATTTTATTTTTTTATTTACTCTGGTTTTATTTTTTTCACTGGCAGACTTTTTTCTGTAGAAGTTACAATTGATGCATGAATAAAGCATTTGGATATAGAAGATTTAAAGATACAAAAGACACAGAGGTATTTAAAGATGCAAAAGAAATGCGTGCACAAAATCAGAATTCAACGAAATTACATATATGTATATATATTATTAAAAATGATAAATTCGACATATTCTAAATATATTCGATATTTTCCGCTTTGTTCTA